CACAGCTTCAACCTTAAACTGTCTACCGTGGACCACATCCCATTCCTAAGAGGTTCATAAAGGGGGTGTGCATAAGCGCACCAGTGTGCCTACCATCCCTGTCCTACAATCCCCATTTATTTGTGTTCATTTCCTTCTTTCATGTCCATGTTCATATTTATACCTGCTATCTTGTGCATGTTTGACAAACTAATAAATACAAATAAATATAAATATGTATATTCTGAAAAAGGTGGACAACTTAAACATACTGGAAGCAAGTGTAGAATGGCAAACTGTGTAGTTCTTTGTAAATGGATCCTAATTATTCATAATTACATGTCAGTCAGTCACATTAGCAAGTTCAAACTGTATGCATGCAAATATAAGCATCTCTGAGTCTAGACTCAGTTTCTAAAATCAGAGGGGTTTTAATGAAATCAATTGTTTCTGACTTCAGCAAGGCTCAAGTAATTTAATCCAGATCCAGCCCAGTGTTTTATTCAACCTACTAGGAAACAACAAGTATTTCATTGGACACCAAAGGCAACTCTTCCTAACTTTATCCTCAGTCTAAAGTAATTTTGCTTAGCATAAAAGCATGAAACTTTACTAACAGGAATAGGGTTAGTTGTGTTTCTTGGAGAAGATCCATAACTCAGTAGCTGAATATTGCTACTGCAAACAGTCAAGTTCAAATTTATGTTACTGTATTCTAGTATTTCATTTCTAAATTTGGGCAGTAAACAAACATTATATTACAAATTGTTCTTCAATATATGGAATTTTTTCTTCTCTTGCAAAGAACACTTTGTTTTTTCTCTCTCATTCTTGTAGCCTTTTAAATATTAAGCTGTCTCTTTATTTTTTTCTAGGCAGCATTGTTTCTGCTATGTGGCAGATGGTTCTATCCTTACTGTTACTTTCTATTTTACATCTCTCTTCATAATTCTAAAGTAAGGCGCTGGTGAGCATATTTATAACAATCAGAAATAAAAGTCCAGTTTACCAGAATGCTGCCACATTGGAAGGAAATGATTTAAGATTTAGATGGCACAGCTATTTGTGCTACAGCAAAGATCATTGAGAATTTGAGAATAGATAGAAGGCTAACTAGTCTCCTAAAATCCCTTTAGAGTTGTCACCTCAAGAAGCCTTTTTAAAGAAGGGAAATGATAAAAATGGTTAACTTATGCTGATTTACTGTATTTCTCCCAAGGAGAATTTAATGTAAAAACAAGAGAAATAATTAAAAGGATAAAAAGAATTATGAATTTGAAAAGGGTAAAACTGAATTTGATATAGAGATCTGTAGAAATGATGATCATATTATTGTTAAGTAATTGCTAAGATGTATAAACTTTTATTGAAAACAGAAACAGGATGAACAAGTTAAAGATTGCAGGATAAAATGGGGGGAAATGGATATAATATATAGTTGGACAGAGTACGTGGGAAAATATGTGAAAGAAATGGTTGAGACTTACACTGAATTATAATCAATTTTTTTTTATAAAATGAGGTACCATTGGTACATGAAACTAGATAAATTGTCAAAAATGTCTAAGGGAATATCTATCTATCTATCTATCTATCTATCTATCTCTATCTATCTATCTATCTATCTATCTATCTATCTATCTATCAATCATTTGGCTGGCTGTCTATCCTTCATCTATATCTATCTATCTATTTATCCATCCATCCATCCATCCTATATGCTTGATGATTGCATTAACTTTACAACCAAAATCAAGCCTTCAGTTTCTTTTTTAATGTTCCCAGTTGTAAGCCACTGCCAGATTTTACTTTTATCTACTTTTCCTTCGACCTTTTGTAGAAACTGACCGTGTAAAGCTTTTCCCTGTCAGCATTCTGTTCATATTTTCATTACTTTAGTTTAATATTCATGTTTTGTTTCTTATACATCCAATAAGTTCCCATTTTAAGTGAAATCAATACTTGTTCTTGGCTGTTGTTTACATTATCAGCCAACAATGCTTATCTTTTTCAACAGTTTGTTTGATTTGAAATAAACGTGTACCTTCATTTCTGCAGGGCAAGTAATCTATCAAT